AACCCAGGCAGCGAACCCGGGGTGCGCTTTGGGTTCGCTTTCTGTTAGGTTGTGTCTGGTCGGTACTGTATGCAATGGTTTGTATACAGAGTTGAGAGTTCGGCTTTCATAGATATTGTTTTCATAAAATTTCCCAAAGTATTATGACCTACTGGAGAAATGTCATACCAAACAGCATCTGAATCATTGATATGGCGCTTCGGTCTCTGCATGCCAAAAACTTTCACAATTTGGATTCAGCTTTCCGAGGTATTTCTCCAGACTAGACACAGGACACGTCTCATTACATGGACATATTAATATGAAAAATTGTAAATCAGTTGAATTCATGAAAATTATGTCACATAGACAAATATATGATCTAAAATTAGTTAATACTGAAGTTTACATTAATTTTATTTTATATGTAACTATTTCAAGAAGTATATTACCTGGTATTTCATATATTCTTGCTGAAGATGCATCATGGTCATTCACGTCACTTCCTCTGTGATTTTTGGTTTCATACTGAGCGACATTAAGATAATATCTCCTTCCCTGGCCATCTGTCCTCAAAACAAAATCAGTTTTCTTCATACTTCTCAGATTTTCCCTTCCTCTTCTACATGTGTAGAACATCACATCAAGAAAAACTTTATATTGCAATCCCTGTGGACTGTTTCCGTTTAGGACGCCGCTACTATACAATGTTGCCATGTCAGCATCGCTGATAATTTCCTTGTGTTGAGTGGTTCCCTTTCCAGTTTGTTTGATGTTTGTCAAAACTGCCTTGTACATTTCGTTTGATAGACGAAAATCTGAGTCATTAATAATGTCATAGTTATTTTTTTGGAAAAATCTCTGCAAACCAAACCTAATGCTGATCATGGAAGATCTACTATACAATTCACCATTTTTTCTTCGGAGTTCAGCGTAAAAGTTGATCAGAATTTCAGCAATTTCACCTTTTGTTTTTTGCAGTATGTTGTCCACAATCAGTCCTTTTTCAGTGCAGTATGTAATGAACACTCGTTTCGCTGAGTCTATACATTGTTTTGTGTTGGAACTATCGCGGTTTTCTAGGATTGCTTGTAGTTCCTCACTTGTCAAAGTTGCAAACCTCGATTCGCCAGCCATCGTTTTTGTAAACAGACGACAAATAACACATGAGAAGTGACGTAGTACACAATTTTATAGTCTATATCTTATTTCTCAAGAATAACTTACAGTTATATTCTTTATCTAAAAACGGTACAGTAAACATGAAGAAAAAAACGAAGCGGTCATATGTTCCGCCATTTTTATTTTCTGCACAGGTCAGGTTCAGCGGTCAATAATATTAATGACCGGTCAATATCTCATACACATACAACAATCAAGTCATTAATGGTCATGTGACACAAAAAAGGGTCATAAGCTAATTTTAATGTTTTCTCATTAACCAATCAGAGTCTTTCATTCTAATTGGAGGTATAATATATATATATATATATATATATATATATATATATATATATATATATATATATATATATATATATATATATATATATATATATATATATATATATAAAATATTTAGCCACCAGAATTCGGCGCATCTGTTCATCCCCTGCCTTATATCAAGAACAAAGCGGTCTCCTTAAGTCCCACTTATGCAAGAGAGGCTACAATGCCCGCACCGTACAAACTGCTATTGATGAGATGGCGGGACATGACAGGCAAAACCTATTACGCTACAAGGAAAAAGACAATAGCGACAGGGTCCCTCTGGTAACCACATACCATCCCCTTCTCAAGAACCTCAGCGGTATCCTTCAAAAGAATCTGCCAATTCTCCACTCAAATAAACGAATGGCAGAGGTCTTTAAGGAGCCCCCATTGGCTGCATACAGACGCCCGAGGAACCTAAAGGACATGGTAGTAAGAACCAGATTGGACAATCCATTACCTAACGGGGGCTTTAAAACTTGCTCTGACAGAAGATGTCTTCTCTGTAAGTACAGCTCTGACACAGACAGTTTTAACAGCCCTGTTACAGGCCGCAGCTACAAAATATTAGGGAATTTGTCCTGTCAAACAGACAACTGCATTTATCTCATCAGTTGCAAAGTTTGCTCCAAACAGTATGTTGGTGAAACAGGAGATCTTCGCAGGAGAGTCAATAATCACCGTTCTACCATTAGGACCATAAAACTCAATGAACCCGTTGGGGAACATTTCAACCTTGAAGGTTACAAATGGGAGGACATGACAGTAGTGGTTACTGACCATAATCCAAGATGGACAGACGCGCAGAGAAAAGGCAAGGAAAAGTTCTGGATGCACAGCCTGAAGTCATTCCGCCCTAATGGTATTAACAAACTTAATGACTTCACCAGGATGAACGTGAACTAGACCCAATCCCGGATTGTAACAAACAAGTTAATTCTCTCTATATAGTGTAAACTTTACCGTTAATTCGTATTAGCAATCCTGGAACAACCTACCCAAATATTTACAGCTTACATTTTTGTTTATTTCCTTTTTCCGATTTCCAAATTTATAATATATCCAAATTCATATTTCAAAATTGTCCTTCCATATTATCTTTCTTTAATTTTTTTTTTATCATGTAGAGTTACGCTATTTTGAGAGAATAAGACAATGTACGATTTACTGTTGGTCGTAATTAATTAGCGATAATTAATTCGTTCAATTATGTAAATCACACTTCACCAGAGTACACCCGATAGACCGGACGCAATTCAAAGCGCTCCGGATTTCTTTGTTCACAACTGTTTATAAACTCCAAATTAAACATGTAACATTGTAAATATTTAGTGTTTGGTAGTTTAGTAGTAGTGCTAGTTGTTTTTGCTTCTCTATTTCCTTTGTTTTTAAGACTTCTTAACTTTTTTCTTTGTCCTGAGGAGGGACAGGTCGTCGCGAAAATTTGACAACTATTATTGTTCGTGGTCATTTTCAGTGCTTTATATTTATATATATATATATATATATATATATATATATATATATATATATATATATATATATATATATATATATATATACATATATATATATATATACAGTGCAGGGAGCTAATTTTGTTACATAAACCAGCATCAGCATAAGCATTAGTAGCATCAGGATTGAGCTAGCATCAGCATTTAAAAAACAGCATTACCAGGATCAGCATCAGCAAGCAAAGGATAAAACCAGCATTGACCTACATAAAATCAGCATTATTCTACTAGCATCAGAAAATCAATGAGTTTTAATTCAGTAAAAAATTAAAAAAGAAAGAAAGAATATTGGTTAAAGTATTCACATTATTGATAAATAGTGAGATATAATGATCAAATAATTGTAAAAGGCACTTTTATTGCTTTAAACGGCAATGCTGAAATTCATTATCTACTTCCGGTAGCATGATGCTACTTCCGGTAGCATTGACCTAATTATAAAACAGCATCAGGATAAGGATTACTAGCATTAAATCAGCAAGCAAAGGAAGCATTCAAATCAGCATTGATGCTGTAACAAAATTAGTTTCCTGCACTGTATATATATATATATATATATATATATATATATATATATATATATATATATATATATATATATATATATATATACTGAAACGCAAAAGAAACGCAACAAGCAGTACTCTACAAATATTTGAATTTTTTATCTAATGCTTTCAAAAATGAATATATTAAGGTAAAACTCGATTAAAAAAACATCAGAGATTTGATAAAAATGTTAATTGATTATCTTTTAATTTATAAAGTAACACATGAATGTTAAAACACCCCCCACCCCGGTCATTTACAGCGTGCAAGACTGTTATGTGCAACAGTTGCAGCTTGATTTCTACGATTCAATAGGTTCATCAATCTCGAGATCTGAGCGAAAGAAATATTCTTTGCCATTTTAAGTGCCTGTTTTTCAGATGATGAGGTCGAATTCCGGTCCAAAGACTCTCATTCATGCTAGTGATACGTAAGAGCCTGTTGAGGCGTGCTGTGGTGCATATTTGCATCTGCAACTCCCCATCACCTTTATTTTGAGATTTTCTAGCTAGAGCTATGGAAATGCGTACTCAAGTCATCTTTAGGAAGCCTTGGCATCGTTTACGGAAAAGAAAGGAGAATTTATTTTTCGGAACATTGCTGCATCACTTATGATGAACACATACAAATCCTTAAAACCCCATAGTATTGCCAAATGTTTTGTTAAACATGCAATTTTTGATTGCTGGTAAGCGGACTAAAACTTAACTTCCGGTAATGGTATGAAAATCGTTCAACCGTTAAATTACCGATGTTTACAAAGTTGAAGATGTCCTTACTTTTTAGATACAAAATTATATCCTATATTTAATATTTACCCCTAAAATAGGATGTTGCATTTCTTTTGCGTTTCAGTATATAACAAGAAGTCTGTGTGCAAATGCTCATTAGTAATACCCCTGCTCTGGTTTTAATATACTATAATGTGAATATACACAAGTTTATTTGCGACGGTAATTTGTACAAAAATGAATCCTGCCATTAGGCATAATTAAACAAGGAGTGTGCTTAAATTTCAGCATCTGCCATGAGTACTTGCAGAAGAAACTGCAACAAAAATTTCGAATGGACAGATGCATGCATGAACAGGAAGATGACATCGGATTTGTATAAAAACGAATCTCACCATTTGCCTAAACATGGAGTGCGCTAAAATTTTCAGAATCTGCCTTTTGTAGTTGCTGAGAAAACTGCGACAGGAATTTGTAACGGAAGAACAGACAGACCGACACACAGGGGTAAAACAGTATACCACCCTCTCCTTCGGGGCAGGTTTATAAATATTATTAGATATTAAATGTTTTGATATACATTGAGTAATCATGTGATCAAACTATAACATTTGTAAATAAACACTTGAATACATTCATGTAAAGTTATTATTGAATGACCTCTCTAACATAACGTAGTTATTTTGTTGTTGTAATATTATAACTGTACAATACAATTAAACAAACTACAGTGTTACTTACCGGACAGAGAGTCTTCATCTACCACTCTGTATATGTTTATTGTATCGCTGTTCTGTGACCCTACCCACAGTAGGTGTGATCTAACATCATAACTCAGGCCCAATAGTTTGTCTATCCCGTGTCGTGGTGTCAGTATATGTGACAGGAAGTAAACGTCACTGTCAATCATCTGTACTGAGTCAGTATTATAATCACACACCAGGATGTGTGACAGCTCGTCTGTACAGATTCCACGTGGTTCTAGTCCTGATCCTGATGGAGGTCCTCTGTAGGAGAAGCGATGTCTTCCTCTACGATCTGTCACAACTACACGGTTAATGTCAGACACAATAACATCTCCATTATGGTTCTCTGTGATGTATCCAGGATCACTATACAGTCCATGACCTGTGTTGTGGTGGTGTTGTATGGTCTTGATGTGGTCTCCTGTGGAGTTATACCGGACTACCTTGCCTGTAAATGTATCAATAGTGTAGTAATACATCCCGACCAGCAGGTCTCCAGTGGAGAGGGAGCTGTAGACACTCTGTGGTCTCCATGGCGCTTTGTACTTTATTAATGTAGTCTTTATTCTGTCATCCTTAGACAGATTGTTGATGTTATAGTCACTATCTATATAAATTAAATCACCGTCATTGTTCACAGTGTGTACTCCATAACTAAACAGACCACTGGGTATACCTGTCAGATGATGTAGTCTATCACCTGCTGTGTTTGTCAAGATGAGATTGTTACCATCGCTGATCCAGACGCGGTCTGATGATACACGGGAAATGTGATAACCACGAGTAACCCCTGTCACTCTGACTGATTTCTGTAACACAAATCTATACATCATTTTTAGCAGACATTTATTTACTGCGGTTTCTCTCCATAACAGAATCCCGTGTTGATTTCCTCAGTCAGGGAGATTTCTCTGTAAATTACAACATTGTACTAGAATTATCTACAGCAATAGCATGTTTCTATTTACAATGTACCCAGTGAATAACATATATTTATATTAAAGTTTTGGTTTTCAGAACTTAAAGATCTCAATAACATTAAGGCACAGGCACACATAAATACCTTTATACCTGGTGCTGAATTCTTTCTTTTCTTTGCATAGCATAGTATTCACAGTAAAGTCTATTTAGAAATCAATATTTAAAGATTAAAACATATTTTAAAAGAAAGAGTAGGCATTTCAAATTCTTCTGCAGTACATGTGAAATATAAAATATTTGAAATGTAAATTCGACATCAAATATTTCCGGTTGTATGAATAAATTTTATATACAAATTTACAAAGTGTATAAAATCAAGATAAACTTTTCTTTATATAAATATATTAGAGTTATAAAAAAATTTACTTTCTTTCAAATATCAATTTATAAAGTTACAACAATCTGTAGTATTAAATGTAGACATTTCTGATGATGTTACACACTCTATAGATAGGTATGATCTACAGTGTGTTGTGACACAATTATATAAAGTAACAGAGAAGTGTATACCAAACTGATTTCTTGTATCTGGTGACTTATCTACAGTGTGTTGTGACACAGTTATATAAAGTAACAGAGAAATGTATACCACACTGATTTCTTGTATCTAGTGACTTATCTACAGTGTGTTATGACACAGTTATATGAAGTAACAGAGAGATGTATACCAAACTGATTTCTTGTATCTGGTTACTTAACTACAATGTGTTGTGACACAGTTATATGAAGTAACAGAGAAATGTATATCACACTGATTTCTTGTATCTGGTAACAACTGTACAGTTATATATGTATACCACACTGATTTCTTGTATCTGGTGACTTATCTACAGTAAGTTGTGACAGTTATATGAAATAACAGAGAAATTGGTGAGCTAAGGCTAGGTATATGCGCTTGTATGTAGAAACATTTTATTACATTTTCAACATTGAAATACTGTGATTTATTTATTGAATAAAAGTGAAATTCTCTCATGGTATGAAAGGATATCAAAGTGATGTTCTCTCACGCTTGTACGAGGGTTGTTCGGAAAGTTCGTGGACTTCCTTCATAACATTTTTACTTAGCGTCATATCATATCCAAATTTGGTAGAAATGTTTTACCAATAAATTCAAATGATGTGTATCAAAAGTTTTAAAATATCGTGATTTATTTCAAACTTATCCAGAATTAAAAATTGCAAAAATCGGATCGCAGCGCAGGTCAAAATTTAGTAATTTACGAACAATACACTGAATAATGTCTGTAGTCATATTCTCTGTAAAATGGAGCAAAAACGAATAAAAAATTCTAGACATTTAAAATTAGAACTGTTACATAGATTCATATTCCAAATTATGGCTTAAAATTTTGATCGTTGAAAAGAAATCAATTTGTGAAGAAAGGTAGTCCTCATTGATAACGACAAAAACGATGAACGTCACGGAGCAGCAGTTAACGATGCAATTAAGTGTTATACTCGAGAAAACTCCTGAATAAACTCTGAAAAAGTTGGAGGAAGCAGACAATATGTCAAAAACGAGTCGTGCATGTGTGTGTAAATGGTACAGGCGGTATTTGAGTGATAGAGACTCTGTATCGGATGAGGACGATCCGTGAAGAAACGGTTTAACAGTAAAATTCTAAACAAAACTTTAAAAATTTGGAACGTCATAGAAAAACATAGGCGCTTCAGAGTTGCTGATCTTGTGAAAACACAGTTCAACGGTAAAAGAAATTAAAGCATTGACAAAAGAAATTATACAACTCGAACAACTATTAGAAAAATAAATTTCAAGTGATAGAAAACGGTTTTTAATGAGTGGGTATTGGACTATACTGTGTGAAATATCTAGGGAGGGTATTTTTGAGAAACTCTTGACGCTATGTTTTTGACGTTACATTGCTGTTAAGTGTGCTCCGTAGTTCAAAACATGTTGATTTAAAAATCAAGTAATAAGATTTCTATCAAATCACATGGAATGAAACTTCTCACATCAACAAAATAAATATTTCTACATATGATAATGTGTCCATTTTAAATTTCTTAAAAATAGTATAAAGAAAATTGGCATTGTCCACGACCTTTTCGGACAACCCTCGTATATAGAAACATTTTATTACATTTTCAACATTGAAATACTGTGATTTATTTATTGAATAAAAGTGAAATTCTCTCACAGTATGGAAGGATACCAAAGCGATGTTCTCTCACAGAGTGAAAGGCTATCAAAGTAAGTAATAATTTATGGCCTGTCATTAGATAGAGATAGTAACTAAACCGTCTTCATTTAAATTTTAAATCATAGTCACAATTTCTCTGATCTAATTTTTAACATTGCTGGATATAAACCTGAATAAAACACCGGAAAGTAATCAATGTAGATCATTGTGTAAATCTAAAATAATAAAGAGTTTAACTGCTGTTCTTCCCATTCTGATAACAGGTATATTAAATATAAGATCACTAACACTGAATTTAAAATAAAACTCAATCTTAAAGATTGGTGACCATAAAATTCTTATTTAACCTTTGACCCAGGGTAACAAGGAGATCCGTCTCATATTTTTACTGCCTATGTCCATAAAGACCCCGTGTCACCCGATCCTATTGACGCGATTACAGCTTTTGCAAGTTTCTGAATAATGTTTACAGTGATACATGTACATCATTTTCTAAAATAATAAAATAATATTTAAAATCTTTCTCTTGGAAGAAAATATGACTAAAAAATCAATTATTTTTTCAAATTTTCAAGAAATATTCTTCTCTTTACTTCCCTGTTCATTAGTTATTCATTATCTACTTTAAATTAACCTCACCAAAACACAGGTTATGAAAGACATGTTGCAGACATTTTGGCGACCTTTCTAACAAGAATGTTTTTTGTCTCACTTCTCCCCTTGTTCACTAAAGCTTAGCCATTTGAATACGTCTGAGCATACGATCGTGTCCTCCTGTGATAGAATTGGCTCGTAAATCCACCAACATAGACTAAATGAACCTAAACTAGCACGTGCCTCCATGGAGATCCAAACAAACCAAAATCCAAATTTCGGCGTAAAATATTTTAAATATACTAGCATGTAATGTTACAAGAATCTTACCTTACTAATAACAAAACCCGCACATTTTGGCTTTTCATGGTCCTAACTGGTCTTTTGCGACATAATGAATTGATTTCCGCCATACTAGTGTTGAGAAAAGGTAATTGAAGTTAAAAATAGCGTAATGATGAATAAGGCATTTAAATGAAGCACCCAAAACATTTTTATTGAAAATCAATACTAAAATGCAAATATTTAAATGTTGCTGCTCGTAAACATGGAACTATTTCGATAAAATATATAACTGTACGGTTTTTGAATTATTTATTTATTTTTATTTTGTTAAATTTATCCTAAATTTTATGTCATAAGGAACGCGTTTTTTTAACTATAAAACCTGTGTCATTTTATGAAAGTTTAACAAACACACGATACTGTTTATTTTTAATTCATATATATAAAATCATACACTTTTGTTTGTTTACACAATCAAGTAGTCATATAGTAACAAAAGATTCCTTAAACAGTCTTTTTGGAGGGGACATTTTCTTTGATGTGGTACAAGTCACATGATTGCATGCATGTTGCATCTTGAATTGATTTCTTATGAAAATGCAAAATGTTTTCCTTTCCAGTTCTTTTTAATAGTTAACACGTATATATATCGTGATCTGATTAGCACTGAATTTGTTAGTGAAAGACTCATCTCTACTTCTTGGTAGAAGAAAAATAACACTAAACACCTAAATAATAGAGGAAAGCCAACATCAACAAAGTGAAGAATATTTTATTGAACAATAATAAAGGGCTTTTGCTTACCGGTTTTGCCGACAACTGTACAAGTCCATTAATATGCTGCATATGATTTTATCCAACACCTGGTTAAATGTGTAATGGTTTGGGCCGTGGATAACGGCCTGGGTAGCTCAGTCAGTAGAGCACCTGACTAGTGATGCAGGGGTCCCGGGTTTGATTCCCGGTTCAGCCACATATGTTCTACTTTCCTGTTACAGATTTGGTGCCGTTGACCACCCCTGGACCTGCAGGTGAAAGTCCTGCCAGGGGCTAAGAAGAACTTGGGTTGAGTCTTCGGGGGCGAAGACAATTTAATGAGGGAGGAATGTAATGGTTTGGGCCGTGGATATCGGCCTGGGTAGCTCAGTCGGTAGAGCAGCTGACTAGTGATGCAGGGGTCCCGGGTTCGATTCCCGGTCCAGCAATACATTTTCTCCTTTCCTGTTACATATGTATATCCTTCCTGTTGAGTTTCCACCAAGAACCTCACTACTTGTATGAAACAATCCTCTTATATCGACTTGATTTCTTCATTTTTGAGTACAATGTGGTTGTGTCCGTTGAAAAGAGATTTAAACGGTTCTTCCCGATCATATCTCAGGTCTTTCCGATAAGTAAAGTAGAATTTAATGCTCTATCGTTTACATTATTCTTCTTTAGAATGGATCTTATTTTTTTTTTATTCTTGAAGAATTTCACTGATTTGTATTACGCTTGTATTTGTTGTCGGTAGTCCCCCCTGATATTTTCTTTTCATTATTAAAACAAAGAACACATCTTTTCATTATAAAATCGGTTTCATCCTATGAAAACTTAACAATCATATGATACTGTTTATTTTTTTATTTCATATATAAAAAATTAATTATACACTATTGTTTGTTAACACAATCATGTAGTCATAAAGTAGCAAAAGATTCTCTTAACATTTTTTTGTGATGGGGTGATTTTGTTGTGGTACATGTCACATGCATGTATGTTGCATCTTGTATTGATCTCTTATGAAAGGGCAAAAATGTTTTAGGTTC